TCGTTTTAATGAAAGCAACGTATTTATTGTAAGATAACAAGAAGTGTTGATCGCGTCACATTTCAATATTTCTACGTTTTTCCGAACGCTTGTAAATATAATACTTTGGTGGCTTTGCGTTTGTTGAATATTATGAGGTTTTAGATGATACGAGCTAAGAGCGCAGCGCAGAAAGTGGGATAACGAAAGAGAAGAGAGTGCAATTTTAAGGATCTCCGTACCTTCCGCGACTTTTGAAAAGATTTTGAGTAAAAGATTAAGTAACGGCCGAGTAGAAAACGATGTTTTATCTGTTACGATAATTTCGATTGGTACTTGTTTAATAACTCGTTTATTGTGTTCATTATATTTATTTTTCGAATTGAAAAATAAATCTCTCCGTATCTCTCAGAAATTGAACAGGGAATTCGTAGAAATGAGAGAGACGTTCGCTATAACGTGAGATATGCATTTTACATAGCCGTGTAAAGTGCGCCGTGTAACGCATCTTTTGTTGAATAGGAAAACTGTGTATTTTGAGTAACGATTTGTCTCTCGGACAACTTATTACTCGAGGAAGCCTCATTTTACATTCTCACATAAGCTAGATTACGAATTATTAATGTTTTCCATGTAGAGCGCTTTATGTGAGATGGTATTCTGAGGTAGAGAATTTATTTTTTAATTGTATAACATAATGTTAGATGTGTATCGCGGTGAGATGTGTCGGATTTCGTTGTGAAGATGAAAGGAGAAAAAGAATAAACGCGATCGCGCGCGTTCTTGTTTAATCAGAACTGCTCGTTAATTTTTTCTAATATGTCGCACATTCCATTGTATCTGCCGCTCTTAATTACCTTTAGTTGTGGGCATTAGCTTCTCCGATCTAATATAGTATACCGCTCCACCCCTTTGCTACTACTGTTATTTGTAATGACGCAATATATTTATTAAATATTTAACAAGCAAGACGAAGATAATGGGATAAAGCTACATTTACAGACGATAAAAGGAATTCTTTTCTACTACCGAGTGTTTTAGTTAGGTATCTCTCTATGACGATTCGGCGTCACACATAAACGTGACTAATATCTTCTTGTAGAAACCTGACATAGCTTAGTTTTGTACAAGCTTTGATACTCGTACAAATATCATTTGATTAGGGATAACAAGATACGAAATTAATGTAATACCTTATGAGTTTTTCAAGCATAGACAGCGCGAGAAAATGGCGTTGAAACTATCTTTGACTAAACTCGAATTATTTTATATATTTTTTAATTATATATTGCATATCGCAGTTTTCACATGTCGCTCACTCTCTACACTTATACGCTACATAAGTTGTAACGTCGTACAACTTTTTTTTATTTCCTATAGCGTACAGACGTGTGTACGTGTACGCTTTTTTTTTTTTTTTTTTTTTTTTTTTTTATATATTCGACTTTTGAAATCTTTCGAAATTATTTACAGCCGTGAACCAATCGTCTTCTTTAATCGTACAGTTTCATGTTACAGAGTACTTTTTAATATACATATATTATGTAACTCGAGTATAGAAGGCTATCGACAAAGATATGTTACAGCTTCTTTACATATAACATACGATACAACGTAGAATATTCTATTATTTAACATGGTATAGCTAATATGGCAGAGTAGAGGGTACTACATTTCAGTTTCTTGTATAAATTAATATTGTATTATCCCTAGATTGTCGTAAGAAAAACTCACATGGTATAAAAACAATGGAAGCATGCAGATATATAGTTCCTCCTTGTTATATATAAAATTGAAGATTTGTTATTAGGCAGTTTTAATTAAGCAATACCCAATGAGGCTTATAAATATAGTATTTAAGTCACACTAGTTATATATAAATATATATATGTGGGCTTCATATATATATAT